TCCTGAGTCTTAATTGACCTTAGAAGGCTAGGGCCAAAATGTTGGCTTTCCTTGTAGCCCTCCTTTTTCTCTAATTTTGGTCTGCAAACTTAGGTTAACCATCCAGAAGAAAAGCTTATTGTTATTATCAAACAACTCTTTTCTTTTTTTTTAATGGTCAGCTCAGTCCATCCTGGAGGTGGGGCTGGCATGGCATGTGGTGCTGGGGATCGAACTGAGGTTCCTGCATGCTTGGCTAAGCTTGCCTAAGCAGGCGCTTTAGACCACTGAGCTATCTCACCAGCCCAAAGCGAAGCTTTTTGGGACTTATCTCAGGAACTAAGCTAGAAGCAGGCACTGGAAATAAAGTTAAGGCCACTACATTGGGAGAGATTTGATCAGTTTTTTTCAGCTGAGCCTGCCCTTTTTTTTTTTTTTTTGGCAGGACCCGGGATTGAACTCAGGCCCTTGGGCTTGCCAAGCAAGCACCTATTGTACTGAGCATCTCCCCAGCTCCTCGGTGTTTTCTTTCCATGGGTCCTTAGATATCCTCTTGGGCCCACCTGTCCTGGTCTCCTGGGGAAAGCCAGCTCCGGGTGCTGGTGGTACACTAGTCCAGAGAGCCCCAGCAGGTGTTGCCCCCTGTGGCTGGTGGCAGAAATGACTGCCGCGGTGCTTAGCAGTCAGGTCTTTAGCACCTGGGCGCTTGGGGAGAGGGTGAATTCTTGGGACCTATCCCCAGACCTGCTGCTGAACTGTAGGTGCGGCCAGGTGGGGTCCCCACGCCCTGCCGCTCATGCAGGCTGTTAGGGTGATACGGCCGCCAGGCAGTTAAAGAATCCAAACCCCAACAGCCCCGTCTCCATCTGTGCTCCAGCCCTGCGATGTGATACACTGTTCTGCTCTCAAGACTAGAAGTCCCCAGAGGTGGGAGTGTGCACCTGTAACCCAAGCACTCGGGAGCAGAGGCAGGAACGTCGTGCATTCCAGCCTGGAATACAGGGCAAGAACTGTCACTTCCTAAAGTTGATCCTCTTGCTCTGTGTGGTCCTCAAAACCTCCCACCTCCCCAGGACTCTCATTCCATCATCAGGTCTTAAATATAATACTTGTCCTAAAGAACTAAAGTTTATTTTACTCCACATCTAGCAGCAGACCGGCTTACCCTCGGCAGGGTCACTTTTTTGGGACAAGCGGGTTGAGTTTCCCTTTGCCCTCGCGTTCTCCATGGCCACCTCTAGCAGTGTGCAGCTCCATCTGCCTGTACGCCGCAAACACTACTGGGGATTGAACCCAGAATTTCTATCTCAATTTCTGAGAGGGTCTCTAAGTTTCTGGGTTGTCCGGGCTGGGCTTGTCAGGCACGGAGTCGTCTCTGCATCCCTGGCTGCTCCATGGATGTCACAGCACAAGGGGCCTCTGTGTCTGGGGGTCATAGACATCTGAGCAGGGCCTGCTCAGCAAATAAGAGCTTGCCATGACCCCATGCCAAACAAAAGGGCCTGGAGATGTAACTCAGTGCAGAGATCTTTTTTTTTTTTTTTTTAATTTGTGTGTGTGTGGCCAGCTCAGCCCACCAGGGGGCGGGGCTGGCTGTCATGTGGTGCTGGGGGATTGAACCGCGGTCCCTGTGCTTTGCTAAGCTTGTTCTAAGTAGGTGCTTTAGACCACTGAGCCATCTCACCAGCCCCAGTGCAGAGGTCTTGAATGCAACAGCCAAGAGCCTCAAGGAAAAATAAGCTGAGCTACACATGAGGACTTGTCATTGTCCCCTGAAGCACACACACACTGAGGCCTCGCTTCATAAACTTAATTCTTTTCATGATTCTGGCTGCAAACTTGAGTTGAATGAAAACAAATTGCATGGTTAGATTTAATGTTCACCTTACAGGGAAATTAGATTTGGTTCTTGCCCTGTTCACATTAAGAATCAAGTAGCCAGGGCCGGGGAGATGGCTCAGTGGTCTAAAGCACCTACTTAGAAGGAGCTTAGCAAAGCACAGGGACCGCGGTTCAATCCCCAGCACCACATGCCAGCCAGCCCCGTCCCCTGGTGGGCTGAGCTGGCCACACACACACACACACACACACACACACACACACATAATAAAATAAAATAAAATAAAATAAAAGAATCAAGTAGCCAGGGCCGGGGAGATGGCTCAGTGGAATGAGCACTTGCCTGGCAAGCACAACGGCCTGAGTTCAATCCCGGTTCTGAAAAAAAAAAAAAAGAATCAAGTGTAGCAGGGCCAGCCAAATAGCTCAGCAGATTAAAGGGCCTGCAAGCAGGCGCAGGGGCCAGGGTTCGATCCCCAGGTCTGCGGTGCTGCCCCCCCCCCTCCGGGTTGCACTGAGCCAGCAACTGAGACTGGTTGTGGTGGTGTGCACTGTAATCCCAGCATTTGGGAGGCTGTAAACAAGCAGATCACTAACAGTCTGATCTAGTAGTGAGACCCTGAACACCCTATAGACCTTTCCCTAAAATTAAAAAAAAAAAAAAGTTATGAACTGAGGAGCTACTGTTGTCTACACAACTTCCATTGCTTTAAATTTTTTTTTTTAAATTTTATTTATTTATTTGTGTGTGTATGTGTGTGGCCAGCTCAGCCCACCAGGAGGCAGGGCTGGCTGGCATGTGGTGCTGGGGATTGAACCGCGGTCCCTCTGCTTTGTTTAGCTTGTTCTAAGTAGGTGCTTTAGACCACTGAGCCATCTCACCAGCCCCTTCCATTGCTTTAGATGCACTCCGGAGGTGCTCGGGAGCCTGGCACACACAGGCAGTGGGGGTGCACCAGCCCCTCATCAGAACTAGCCCCGACCGCGAGCAGAGCCAGTGTGGGCTCCCCGAGGGCTGAGGGGCTCTGCAGGGCTGCCCTGCTGCGTCCACAGTAGTGGGCAACAAAAGCATACACACACAAGGGGTTAAATAGGCTGCTTCTCTTTCCACTGTTTATTAATGTACAAAATATACAAAACCAAAAGAAAAAGAAAATATTCATCCTCAAATCCATTGTGGTTCTAACCCAAGACCCTGCACAAAACCCAACCAATTTACTGTTTTCATAGAAAACAACTGATGCCAACGGGCGGGAGAGGACAGGAGGAGCAGCTGGCTCTGCCGGCAGTCTGCAGCACGACCTTCGCCAGTGCGTGCCGAGCTGATGGAAAGCAGGCCTCCCAGTGTCCTAAGAAGTGTCCGGCCCTAGACGCTGACTGATACCGTCACCGAGCCTAGCAGGTGCAGGTTCCCCTGGGGGTGGCTTAGAGCCCACGTCTGTGGCCACAGGGGTGGGGTGCTGGTTTTGGAGCTCACACCAGCCTGGCAGAGCGCTCAGTGCAGCAGGATGTGCAGCAACCCTCCCGTGCCCTAGCCCCAGAGGAACATGGTGACCCCAGGACTGCCATGGGTCCCACGTCAGTCTGTGCACGTGAGGACCCCGACAGGTGGGTACGTGCAGCCGGGGCCAGCTCCAGGTGCTCAGGCAGAGGGGCAATGGAGGGCCAGGCGGGCCCAGAGTGAAGCTGGCTGGGCCTCTCTGCCAGCAGTCTAGAGCCAGGACATGGACGGTCTCACCTCCCTGGAGTGAGGGAAATATGTACACAGACACGTGCCAGTGGTGAGAAAGCTGGACCACGCAGGGGAGACTGAGGGCTGGCCGGCTTCTCCCCAGCTGGGGCGGGGGACTTGGCCTCACAGAAGCCATAACGGGTGACGGAGCTCGGCCGATGCCAGGTGGCAGGCCCTAGGGCAAGGGGGGCCCGTTGACTCCTGGGTGGTAGAAGGCACAGTTGTTCTCATAGCGGCAGTTGCCCTTCATCATAAAGTGTCGGCAGACGGGACGATTTGACATGTCTGTAGGCATAAGGTGTGAGGTCAGCAAGAGTGGTTGTGGGGCACAGGGCCTGCCACGCAGGTGAGGCTGCCCCCACCCCGACTCATGCCCCCCACCCCCACTCCTAACACCAAATTCCCTGGGAACAGGTAGCAAGCACCTCACCTCCTCCATGGCTGTGGCCTCCATCGTGCCCACGGTGGCCCCCTCCTCCGTGGCCAGGGCCATCATGGCCACGATGCTCGTGAGGAGGTGGACCTCGGTGGTCATGGCCTCGGTGACCAGGGACATCATGTGGCCTGTGACTGTGGGGTCCCCCATGTCCAGGGCCTTCGTGGGGTCTATGTCCACTGCCACCACCCATACCACTGCCAGGGCCGTCATGCGGCCGATGTCCACTGCCACTGCCCATGCCACTGCCGGGGCTTTCATGGGGCCGATGTCCACTGCCCCCACCCATGCCTCCACTGGGGCCTTCATGGGGCCGATGCCCAGCGCCTCCAACCATGCCTCCGCCGGGAACCCCACGTCCATTTGGGGGGCCTGCTCCAGATCGACCTCCTCTGGCTCCTCGGAATGGAGGAGGAGGTGGAGGGGGCTCATTGCCTCCGCGGCCACCTCTGCCTCGATGGTATGGTCCAGGACCAGGACCTGGACCCCCTCGCATAGGGCCGCCTCGCATGGGGTCACCTGGGCCATCCCAGAAGGGGTCACCCCCACGGGGTGGTGGGGGAGGACCCAAGAGGCGCGGGCCCACAGGTCCACCGGGCCCTCCATGGGGACCTGTTAGGGAAGACGAAGAAGATGCGTCAGCTGCCCATGCACCCAAACTGCCACTCCTAACCAGACCTCGTCCCCTCCACTGTCCACTGTGCCTATGCTAAAAGACCCGCACCCCACCTACCTGGCATGGGAGCCCCCGGCCCGGGGGCAAAGTGCTGCATTCCCTTGGGGGCCCCAGGGCCTCCTGGTGGGAAGCCGTTGGCTATGGGGCCAGGACCAAGGAGTCCGTGTGGCACTGTGCACAAAAGCAATGAAACAAAGATCAGAAGGGGCCAGCAGGGTGGCAGGCTCCCCGCACTGTGCCCACTGGCCCTTGGGTGCCCCGCAGGGCTTCTCGTCCCTTCCTGCCTGGCCCATGAGCACACGAGGCACTCACCCAGCATCTGCTTGAGCTTGTCTGAGTAGTCTGGCTGCTTCAGCAGCTCCTCTGGGGGGTGGCTGTTGGGGCTGCCCATGATGGAGGTGAGGATCTCCTGCACGTTGATGCCACCTCCACCAGGGCCCTGGGGACTCTTTCCGGCACCCATGCTCCCCATCAGGTTGGCCAGCACCGGAGGCAGCTTAGAGCCAGCCACACCATCGGGAGAGCCGCCCGGACCCCCGGGCTCCAGTGCCTCAGCATAGGGGGTCTCATCCATGGAGCACTCCTGGCAAGGGGGAGGAGAGGGATCAGGGTCTGGGAAAGAATGCCAGGCACTCAGGAGACCAGGCCCCACCACGCCCACACTCACCTCATCTAGGGGGATGAGCTTCGGGGGGATGGGCTCATAGGGCTCGGGGTCCGGCTCGTGAGGGCTGCCAGAAGAGCGCAGGCCATGGAGAGAGAAGAGGTGTGTCACTCTGCCAGCCCTGACCACCACACCCTCTGCGCCCACCCGTCTCGGCGCCTAGGAACGCACACTGCTGCCGATGGCCCCCGCGCTCCGCGTCCCTGAGCGGCACCTGCCCGGCTACTCACCTCTCCTTGTTCAGGAAGAGTTCCTGCAGGATCCCCTTCTCCCGCTCAGCTTGAATGTACCGCTCCTGGCTGTTGCTCCCAGGAGTGACGAGCGGGGAGGGCAGTGCCAGCGGCCGGGGGCACACCCAGGGCACCTTCTCCTCCATGCTGTCATGGCTCAGACGCCGGGCCGTCTCAAACGCGTGCCGATCTGACAGTATCTCCCTCTTGGCTGCCTCACCGAAGTCCTTGATTTTATTCACATTTACTGAGGACAGGGGAAGCGCAGAGAAGGTGAGCCCGGCCCAGTCCCTGGCCCCACCAGGCCCAACCCCAGCATCAGCATGGCTGCTCACCCCGCTCTGTCTCATCCAGCTCAAAGTAGAAATACTCCCTCAGCTTGGCCTCCTCGGGCCACGTCACGGTCTTGCGTTTCCGGCCCTTCCGCGTCAGCTGCCCGGGCTCCCCAGGGCTCTCCACTGGCCGTGTGTCCAGAGCTCCGGGCTCCAGAGAAGCTGCAAACAGCAGAGGTTTCAGGTCCAGCCCCCTCCTTTCAGAAGCCCAGCCCAAGCGGGTTCCTAGGTTACCTGTGTCCATGAGCTCCGGGACTTCCACAGGCGGCACTGGGGTGCCAGGCCGGTCCACATCCATGGCCTCGGAAGGCGGGGCTGGCTCTGGTGATGAAGGTTTGGCTGTGCTGGGCTCCGTGCTCGTCTTCCCCTCAAAGGGGCTGGGCTGTTAGGGAAGAAGACGCAGGTGAGGCGCTGCCCAGGGGTCACGCTCAAGGCCATTTCCTCTGACTCAGTCTTGGTCCCTGGACTGTACTGGAACTCAACGCCCCCACCGCTGTCCCAACAAGGCCAGGGCCCAGCTCTCTTTAACACGCACCCCACTGAGCCCCACTTCTTGGGGCCCATACCTTGGCAGCAGTCGGTGACAGCACCTTCTTCTTCTTCTTAATTTTGATGCCCGGGACAGGGGCTGAATTGAGAGCATCCAGAAAGCCCAGACCCTCCATAGCTGCGGAAGGAGGGGAGGGAGGAGTTGGACACCCTCTTCGATCCTGCTCCCCAAAGCCCTGGCAGGCAGGCCCAGGCTGTGGCTGGAACGAGGCCCAGGAGACCACACCTCTGCCTGACCTCCCCTCTGGCATCATCCTGCAAGGAGAGCTCTGGAGGTGCAGAAACCAAAGGGCCCAAGGAGGCTAAGCCAAGTCAGAGCACCAAAAGGACAGAACCCTCCCTGTCCCAGGAGAGGAGTGGGCTCCGGAACCAGGGGCCATAGCTTGGGACTCACGCTGGGGCGGGATGATCTTCACTTTGATCTCCTTGGTGGCATTGGGGGTCGTGTTGAGGGGTTTGTACTTCTTCTCTGCAGGGGGGACCACGTCTCCCGGTGCAGTTGTGGCACTGTGGAAAGGACAGCGACAGCGGTTAGTAACAATGCTCAGCCCTGATCCCCCCAGTACCTCGGACCCGCCCGAGGCCATACCTCTGGCGCTTCAGGGGGATGGGCTTCAGGTTGTACTTGTCCGAGACCACCACGGTGCTGGCGTTCTTCTTTACAGGCACCAGGGACGGCGTCTCCAGCTCAAGTCCTGGGGACAGAGGACAGTGGAGCTCGGCCTCCCCCCAGCTCCACAACCCGTTGCTCCCCTTCCACACCCTAAGCCCAGCCAGGCTGCTCACCAGTGGAGCGGAACTTGGCATGACTGGGGGCAGTGGTCCGCAGAGACTTGGGCTTCTCCCTCTTCTTCTCTGGTGCCTCTTCAGCCCGGGCTTCAGCCTTCACCTCAGCCAGAGGGCGCTCAGGAGGCGTGGCTCGGCTCTTCCCCTCCTCTTTGCGTTTCTTTTTATCTTTCTCTGGTGTAGAAGAGAGTTTCATTTAGAAGATGAAGATTCTGAGGTGCAGCAGGTGAAGGTGCCCCACAGCCCGCGCTCACAGGCAGAAGCCGCCTGGGCCCAGCCTTACCGGCAGGCTGTGCGCTGCTCTGGGAGCGGATGACGGCCATCCAGTCACTGACGAGCACTGAGGCCAGCTTCCGCAGCTCTGCAGGGGGAAGGTGCGTGTCACTCAAGTGGTGGAGCAGTAACTTAGTGCTTTTCTTATTCATTTGTCTTTAGGAAACAGGGTCTCCCTATGCAGTTCAGACTGGCCCTGAGCTCATGATCCTCCTGCCTCAGCTTCCCCAGTGCTGGCATCACAGGTGTGAGCCTCCACGCCCAGCTACAACTATGATTTTTCAAAGAAAGTAAAAGCAAGGTGAGGTAGAGAGAGGAAGGGATGGGGAGAGGGGGCAACAGGACAGGCACGGGCCAAGCCTACCTTCATCCTCGCTCGACTTGCTCAGCTGCTTCACCAGCTTGGCTGTGTTGTTCTACGAGAGACAGCGGCAGAACAGTAAGTGCTAGGGGAACAAGGCTTGCGGGGCAGACTGCCCTGGGCGCTCGGCTTGCTCTCAGCCCTACAGTGGGCACCACAGAGAGACAAGGCCACCACTACAAACCTTGGAAGACAGCCTCATATTTCTGAATGACCCCCCTTCAGTAAGTATTAATTACTCCCATTTTATAGGTGTAAAAACTGAGACTAAGATATATGTGGTGCCCCAAGCTACACACCTATTACAGGAAATAATGCAAAGCCACATCTTCTGATTCTAAATTCACTCCAAAGAGTTTATTCTGTCCTTCCACCTCCCAGGCCCAAGTCCTCACAGAACAGTAGTGTGGTCTCGCCTGTCGGATGACCCAAAAGGGAGAGGTAACTCTGCAGGTACCTGCTTGAGATGGTCCACAGTGAGTGGCAGGTGCTGGAGGGTCATCAGGATCTGCTGCAGGAGGGGGATGTTGTTGGTTGTCTTGGAATACGTCAGCCAGTTGTTAAGAAGCTTGTAGCCGCCTACATCAATAAACCTGGAGGTGGGTAGGAGCAGAACTTCTAACAGCCCTCTGGGGTTCCCAACTGGCCCCCAAGCTGTGCCTAGGGTCCCCATGCTACGCCTAGGGCCCCCATGCTACACCTGCCCCTGCTCCCCACTCACTTGATTAGTATTTCAGACGACCGGGTTTGGAGCAGGATGTTCAGGTACGTGCACCGACTCACCATCTTTCGTGCTTCCTTCATCAGACTGTGGAAGACAGGATCGAGTCAGAGGGGCAGAGCGCTCCTCTCACCGTGGCAGGGTCTGTGGCTGCTGGGGTTGCTCCAGAGCAACCTGGAAACCCCAGGGGGAAGGAGCACAGCCATGGGGAGAGGAGCACCACTGTTCCCACCAGGACACATGTGACGCTGCCTCTGGCACTGAGTCCGGGGCTTGCAACTACCCTCCACAGCCTGTGAAAAACAGCTTGGAGATGTGCTTTTCCCTGGAACATGGAGGATCTCCAGAAGAAATATGTTCTGGATGGTGGTATGTGACTCACAACAGACCCAAAAATCTGTCAGCAGGCTGTGCTGTTCTTTCCAGTGTAACTCCTGAGACTGTGGATGTGTCCTTGTCCCAGCTTCTGTCACTTATCCTAGGGTCAGGGGCTCTGAGACCTTTTCTCTTCATTTGCCTGCCCTCCCTCCTCCAGGACTCTGCTGGGCCACAGAGAACACCCAGAACCCTCTGCTCACAACAAACAGGAACAAGGCACAGGCTCACCTGAAGATCTTGGAAATCCCATCAACACTCTTGACTTCCCCATCTCGGGTTAGGAAGCTGTCCAGACCCTTGAGAAGTTCTTTGGGGTCTATGGGGCCAGAACCCATGATCTTGGTTTCTGAGAACAAAATAAATCCACAGAATAAATGGAAGGACAATCCCAGTAAGCCCTCTCATAAATCCCATCACAGTATTTGACAAAAGATAGTACCTGATTGTATTTTTAAATTAACTACATTCAGCTATTTTATTGTTATACTTTTCTAGGTAAGTAAAGGCCTAGTTTTATTTATACATCATCACTACTAAGAAAATAGCTCTAGCCAGTTAAGCACAAGGTGAGCACAGCACGGAATGCCAAGGCCCTAGGGGGCGGGCAGGGAGCACACCTGCCCCCTCCCCTTGCACCCCTTCTGAGACCGCTGGGTTTCACAAGATGACACTAAAGCCAAGTTCAGGTTTCTAAGGGAGGATATTCAACTTGCATGGTACGGCTTATTATGAGCCATTTTCTTTGTCATTGACACCTTTGGCCTGGAAAGAAGTCTGGGTTGGTAAGAACTGTATCAATCTTAGGTGCTTAGGCTAAATGTCTCTACAAGAGTCAATTTCCTTTTATCTTAACCCTGTAGGTGTCAAAATCATAAGGGGCACATTGTGTCAGCTGAAGTGACAGGTGATAGAGGGGAAGATAACATTTGAAGATCTGATGAAAGCACCCAGAAATGGCCAAAAAAAAAAAAAAAAAAAAAAGATACAAAGTAAACAGGTCCTCTAAGCCCTGGACAGCTATTCCTCACTCAATGCTACATATGCTTTATTGTTGCAGTTAAAAAGTTTGCCGTCCAAGGCGAGATGCAAACCTGACCTCCACTCACCTGCAAGACCTTATAACTGAAATATATGGCACTGACAAGAAATCAAAGGTTGGCAAAGTGCTATGGATTTTAAACAGTTGCTGCATGTTAGGATGGAAAAGGAGTTCATCAGAAACTAAACCGTTTTAACAGAAGGGACAGAAGTATGAAGCAATTTTGTAGGCCAGAACCAAACTTCTAGGGAGACAACTTAGGCTCAGTGTGGTTCTGACTGGCACTTCATCCACACTGCCCCACAGCGTAGGCCTCTGAGGACCAGCAAGGGAAGCCATGCGGCAAGGTCTGTGTCTGAGCAGCGAGGCTCACGCTGCACAGCAAGGTGGCACCGAGCAGACCACAGAAGCAACCCCAGGGGAGCAGAAAGTCAGCGCTTTACCACAACGACTAGTCTGTGCAGGAGCAAACCCGGAGCGCCACAAAGGCCAGAGGGAAAACCATTCAAGAGAATACTGGAAACGTTCAAAGTTTGTAGGGCAATTTAGGAAGACATGTAAGATAATTCACATCAATTACTTATGTTCTTAAATCAAAAAAAAAACACACCCAAACCTTAACCTATTGGTCCTCTGCTGAGCAAGTCAAGCCCTAGGCATGGAGGTCTTGATCACCTAGGCAAGCAGCTGGGGGCTCACATGCTATGAGGGGAAAACGTCTGGGCGACTGTGCTGTCCCTGCCGCCCCAAAGCCTCAAGGGCAAGTGGCACCTGAGATCCAAGGACATTCAATAGAACACCAGAAAAGATTAGAGGCTTGTGAGCCAAAGCCACCGAAGGAAACAAGGTAGGTACTACAGGCACAGGGAGAAGGGATTTTCCCAAGCAGGGAGAAACTCTACAGTGATACAGAAAACTAAGAGACACAAAGATATGACAGAGGTATAAAAGACCTCATGCTTAAGACTAGAGAAGCAGCAAATAGGTCCAAGATCATATATCAGAAGCAATCGAGTCTGATTTTTAAACTGTCTACACAAACATACATACACCATTATTCCAAAGCAAAATATAAACAATTTGATAAAAAAAGCCATGAATTAAACATTTCATACCGGGCCCCCTGAACCCAGCCAACTCTGGCTGATTCAAACCCAGGCTGAAAAAATGCAAGCTTGGAGAATTCCCGCTCCAGCTGAAGAGGGAGCTGAGAGAAAGCCATTCTTGTAAGGCCAACGGACCAATCAGTACGGAGCTGGGTCCACTGCCCTCTGCTGGAAACGGGACCCAGACACTCTGCCACCCCCATTGTATAGATATGCTGGAATAAAAGACATCACAGTTGGAAGCTAGGAGACAAAACAGAACAAAAATTTCAATCCTAGTATCATTTTGGAACTCTAATGGAAAGTCATGTGATAGTTTTAAGTGGACTTTCTCACAGAGGCTTTCCTTTTCCCTTCATTTAACTAAGAACCCTAAGTGTTACCCTGCAACCTCTTTATTTCAAGGGACATTCAAAAGAAGTTCCCAGGCTCTCAAGTGGAGAGAAAAGCAGAGCACAGAATTCCCAGGGCAGGCCCAGAGGTGGCACTTGAGGTGACCACAGACAGGGGCTGTGTCCTGGAGCCTGGAACCTAAGCCTCCTGGAGCCTCACAGGACCCAGGATGTGCTCGGCTGGGCAACCGTGGCACCTATGGGGGCAGCACACAGCCCCTGGCTAGAGAGCCAGGCTTCTAGCGACTCAGGCGAAGGCCCACAAAGCAGTGGGATTTCCCACCACTCACTGGGGCGCAAGTCTTCCTCCTGCCTCCACTGCACTTGAGGGGTAATGAAACCAGTTATATACCCACAATGAAACAGGAAAGCATTGGCTCAGGAAAAAACTCTGGGCAAGCCAAAGCCCTTTACAGAGCTGCTCCCAGCTATGTCCTAACAGCGACACAGGAGCCTTTCACGTTACTCTAGAGGCCTTGGCACGCCTGCACGTGGGGGCGCTTTGTTCCTGCGTTCCAGCCCGTCCCAAGCACTCAGCAGCGCACTGGATTATGTCTCAGGTGATTTGCAGGACCTAAGTTTCCTCTGAAGTGCAAGTACCTACCCTCAAGTCATTCTGAAACGAAGGTGGGCCTGGTGGTACATGCCTGTAATCCCAGCACTAAGGAGGCTGAGGCCTGGAAGACACTCAAAAAAAAAGTCTGGTATGTGACTACCTCAAAACCTTATTTGGTTTGCAACAAAGATGTAAAATCACATATGCCATTGCCACACATAGGGAAGATTTCTGAATTCTGGCTCAGCATGATGGCACACACTTATAACCCCAGCACTTGGGAGGTTGAGGCAGGGGGATTGCTATAGCCTGCGCTGCAAAGTGAGCTTAAGGGCAGCCTGCAGTACAGCCACTGCCTCAAAAAAACAAAACAAACCCGAGAGTGGCAAGCTGACCACTCAGGTCAGCTTCTCCAGATGGATGTTTTCCCTAAGCAGACTTTGCTTTCCATCTCCCACATGTAAGGAAGATCTTCTTTTATTAATCCATCCCTGATCACTAGAGACCAGAAACCCCAGTGGGTGGGATGTTCAGCTCCAAAGGTAGATAGGCTGCAGAGGCACAGGGCAAACTGCTTAAAAGATAAAAAAACTTGTGGTCAATAGACATGTGGAAGAGTCCCGCCACCCAACACATAAGTCACTGAGACTCCACACCCAGGAGAAAATTAGCCAGCTCTAAGTCTCCCCCAGATTACCCCAGGTCAGCTGTACAAAACAGCTCCTAGACACTCCAGGCTTCAATAAAGGACTTTAAAAAATAAGTAGTATATGGAGTCTGGTAAGATGAAGGGGGGGGGGAAGAGGGCTAAGAAAAGAGCTGCAACCCAGAGCCACCCTCAGACAGGGCCTAGCTGTCAGCATGCACCCACTGCCATGGCCCTGCACAGGGACAGCACGAGAAGGGCACTGATTTCCATTACAGCTTTACAGGAATTCTTTTAGGAGGGAAGGAAAAGGAAATTCAAAAAAGGTGGCTCTTTGGAAAAAGAAACGAGGGTCGTGAAATGTAATACCAGAAATGTTTTGCTTACCAGAAACCGTAGCTTGACTCCCCCTGCCTTGAGTTTACAACTGCCGCCTCCTTTCCTAAAGATTCACTTCTCATCCTAGTACCAGTGTGCAGGAGCTAAGCACTGGAGACCGTGACAAAGCACTGGACACAAGAGTTTACCCCCGCTAGAGTGGGAGCAAGGGGGACTTAGAAGAGAGTTCTCAAAGTATTCCCCTCCCGCCCCCAGATTCTCAACAAAAAGCAACCAAAAGCAGGAAGCTTGAGGCCGAGTTCCCAAGCAGAACTGTCACAGCTCAGGGTCGTTAGGCCCCACTGTCTAGTTCCAACCCTTCCCTCAGGCTCCTACAGCACACGTACACAACACACACCCTCAGAAGCCCCCAGCCTTAAAGTACAGGTGAGGTCTGACTAGTTTTAACCTTGGGCAACAGGAAAAGGCTGCACTTCCAAAGCAGTGGTGATGAGTGGAGAAAGATTAAAATACAAAGCAACAGATTGGTTGTTAAAACATGAAAACTAGAGCCACTCAGGAGCGGGTCAGGCAGGAAAGCTAATTCCCGTAGGCTTTCTCCCTTAAGGAGAAAGGATTTCACAAGATTACATCAAAACGAGGAAAAGGTCTTCTCCCTAACTGCAAAGCGCTAGGGAGGCTGACAGAGCTGCAGAGCTGAGGGGCGGAGCCGAGGGTGCAGACGAAGCCGGTTACCTCACCACCCCGGGCGGCTCCTCCCCTCACCAAGGGCTGGGGCGGCCCCAAGCTCAAGATGGCAGAGGGAGAAAACAACAAAGGAGGCGGCCATTTTGTAGAGGCGAGGACTCAACTGAGAAAGTGCTCGGGCAGTAGCTACAATTACAAGTCTTCAAAAAAGAAAAATGAAAAAAAGCGCAGACCGCCCCCACTCTAAATAATGACTTATTTTGAATTAGCATAATAAAAATAAAACAATTAAAATATTTCAAAGAACAATTTTCAGCGGGCAAGAACTGAATTGCAACTGAGCTTCAAGTGTTACCATCGACCACCCCCATCTTCCCTATAAAGGGAAGGGGGGAGGACCTGGCCCCCTCCTAACAAATAGGGTTGAGATGGGAAGACAGGAGAAAACGGGTCAAGACACAACCTGCAACGCCGCTTGGAAGACAAAAGGACAAGGAAAGTCGCCATATTGAAGCAGGGAAGAAAAAAAAATTCCTTTTAACGACACAAATCTTTTAGAAAGCTAGCATTCAATTGCACTAAATGGCTTTTAAAATTATATTCCTGTATTTCACATTCCCCAAACTTCCCGCCCTCTATTTTAGCTCTATCCCCCAACCAAATAGTATCAAGTTAAAATGTTAAATCATTTTGCTTTTAAATTACCTATGCAATCTGAAACAATTACAACATTCTTTACCTCGATTATCTTGTTATGTATTGATATTTTGTCCTAAAGTGTCTTGCAATCTTTATTCCTAGATTGCCTACTTTTTAACACAATATATCCCAACCAAATTACAACTGAGAGGATTTAACAATCATTTAAAGCCATAGTCAGCTAATACTTTTCCCTGCCCATCTCCTTACCCTGCAATCTTTATGTACAGATTGCTTATTAGTCTGGCAAATTGAAAGGCGCCCTGCTTGTCTCACACACAAAGAAGTGGGACTTCTGGGCCACAAGATCCACCATCTTTTGTATGTGAGCTCATTAACCCTTTTGAAGACTGCTGCTACCCAGAGGAAGGTAACCATTCCTCCTTATAAAAAGCAAACACATGCTTTGGCAGTCTGGAAATTGCCTGGATTACGAAGGGTTAACCATCAAAATTCTCACTTGCTGGCCCTCCCTGCACCCTCTCCTGCCTGCAGCATAGCAGGGAAGAGGTAGGTGGTAGGGGAGAGAAAACAAGACTGTTTAGACCCAAAGGCCCTTTTTAATGGAGATCAAGCGACCGGATTGGTCCTTCTCCAGCTCTACATTTGTTCTATGGTCTCATTTCTTCCTCTCATTATTTTTGGTTTCACAAGGGAAACGTTGATTTCTTGTTGCAAGGCTGGTTTTTGAAAATTCGACACTTACTATCCAATTTTTTTGCGACGTCAGCACCTCGGGCTCAGGGGGGGAGGGGGCAAAATTTGGAGAAAAAATAAAACAACCAACCAGGACCCAAAACTCAATTATTTAGGGGGCCTCATTAGATCAAAAAGTCTCTTAAAAAAGAAAGGCCAACTCAGCATTCATTCCCCCCCCACCCGACTCCATTTAGGGAGGGGGGTCGTAGAAAAAAAATTCTGAGTGGATGCAAAAAAGGTAAACGCTGGATGAGTGATAAATTGGGTTGGGTTTGGGAAGGGAGGGTGGTTGATTATTTTTGAAGTATGTGGTGACGGTCCTTCGGCCACAGATCTCAAGTCCCAAGCAGCGTGGGCTGGTGGGGTGGGTAAGATAGATGGGCAGGGGCAGAAGACACAAGTGGTTGTTGGGCTGGTGGCTGCAGGTTTCCCTTTCCCCCCTCTGGATCCTTTCAAGGGCTTAGATGTTGTTGCGGCTCGTTTCTGTTTTCCTCGTGGCCGGCCTGTCTTTCTCCGAGAAAATTCAAACCTGGGGTAAAAGGAACACAAGGGGGAGAGAGAATCAGTACGGGTCTCTTTTACAACACTCCGCGCTACCATCTTCTTCCCGAGGAACCTCCGCGCCCCATTCCGAACTCAGCCGCTTTAGACAAACGGTGGCTCCCCACCAGATCCTGTCCTATCCGGCTTCCCAGCCCAAGAACCTACGCAAAATAAGAAAAAAAAAAACAACAAAACAAAAAAACCTACCACCGTACAGTACAGGACCCACAAACTTACCTCTAAACGAATTCCAGAATGGCGGCTGCCCGAGCGGGCGGAGTCTTTTATATCAGGACGCCGCCCAACGCCCCCAGACGTGCTGGCGAAACGCCCTTGTCGCGAGACATTGTGCGCGAGGCGCGACCTCATTGGTGGACGCGGAGCACAAGTCGCTAGCGGATTGGCTAGCCGTGACCGGCGCCTCCCGCCCCCGCTTCCGCCTCCTTCCCGAGCCGGGCGACGCGCGCGCGTGACCAGAACCCTACCACCGCCCTTTCCTCCCCTTCCACCACTTCCGCCCCAGGAGCATTTCTTAGCCTGGATTGGTAGAAACCCGCGGGCGCATGCGTAGTGGGAGGATCCCGCTTGAAAAATGACCTCAAAATTGCTTCTAAGACAAGCCTAAGTATGGACTCCAAGAATGACAGTGACTGGTGCAGAAGAAATACAATTTTGACGCCTAATTCGATTGTGACGCAGTTGAAATTCGCTTCTGCCCGCGCCCCGCCCTGGACGCTGACGTTCTGACGCAAACGCGCGGCCGCCTTCCGCACTGCGGCGCCGCTGATCTTCCGGGTCAGCATCCGGACGCGGGCGCCAACCTTCACGTCAAGATGGCGGCGTCCGCGCTGCGCACGCTGCTCTGGCGGCGGCCTGCGCGTTCGCACTTCCGAGGTATCAGCGGAGTTCAGGTAACTCCTTCTGGAGGGCGTTCTGTAGAAACCTCAAACTCGTTATACTTTCTCCAAGTCTTCGTTTCGCTCCCTCCCTGCATGCTGCTGCCTCAGCTGTGCGGACAACACGCCGAGGACCGCCACTCTGGCTGCGCGACTGTGCTAATCTCGAGTTGATGGCTAAAAACCTGATATATGTCATCCTTTCCCTGAAGTAACCATCTTAATAGGAGGCATGGCGCCCGCCTGTAATCCCAGCACTCGGGAAGCAGAGGCAGGAGGATGGTTTGCGGGTTCGAGATCAGCCTGCGCTAAAAAGTGAGCTGAAGGCCGGCCTGAACTGCATAGCCAGACCCTATCTCAAAAAAAAAAAAAAAAAAAAAAAAAAAAAAAAGTAACTAGGTGGAGAGGTATTACCCGTTTGGTTACGCACAACCAGACATTAAGATAGTGTCGAAATGTGTGATGGCCCAGTGTCCCCGAATCGAAGGACCCTCGGTTTATATAACCTTGTCATTTGTCACCCACTAAAGCCACGATACATTCTTGGGACCTAGGAACCAGTTTCTGTTTTTGTCTTTAAACCTGTTTTTAATCAGCACTCAGCTTAATTCTGCCCTTTGAATTGAGGTTTTACTCACCACTCTGGATATTCTTGGTAGATCAGGGTAGGGCAGATTCTTGGTGGAGCAGGGTGAGATAGTGGCCTTGGGACAAGCTGCCACTCCCTGAAGGGGGACTTGAGACTGGTGACAGAGGTCACCGTAGAGTTAATGACTGGCCTGGAAGCTTTTAAGCTGGCGTTAGGACTCCAGTTTGTTATGCTGTGTGGTATGTTGTCTTTCCAACTTGTAAACCTGGGCAACTCAGTGACTTTGGATTCAACCCCGCTGGGTGCTCACCTTCTACACTATACAGAGTCAAAACACATTAGGGCCTCTATGTGCTAGGTTTTAAAAAAATTTTTTTTTTTTGGTGGAACTGGGGATTGAACTCAGGCCCTTGCGCTTGCCAGGGAAGTGCTTATTCTACTGAGCCATCTCCCCAGCCCCTAGGTTTTAAAATTGTTTTAAAATGTTCCTGTAATCCCATCTCTGGGGAGACTGATACAAGAGGATCACTACAGCTGAGCTACAAGGTCCTGTACCAAATAAATAAGATTAAAAAAGACACCCAGACACCTTATCTTCAACCTTTTACATTTAGCCTGTTAAATCCCGTGGAGGTACATGCCTGTAATCCCACTTGCGAGGCTGAGGCAGAAGCATCACTGTGAGTTGAAGGCCACCCTGGGTTACAAAATGAATTCAAGTCCAGACTGAATTACATAGTGAAACCCTGTCTCAGAGGAAACCAAACAACACAAACATTAGTCTTTGTTTTAGGATCCAGTTGGGGATGGGGAGAGTAATTGTTGATTTATGTGGTTTAACCTCTTTGAAGATAATGCCCTCCACATATATTCCTGCTCTGTTCCATTAACATAGCAGGCATGCATTCTTCCTCCCTCGATGTATGAGAAAATCAATTCAGTTCTTTTCTTCAACTCACTGTCTCGTTTTCCTCTTTATAGGTTTCCCTGCAGACTTTTTGCACCGAAACCCCTCCTGGAAAAGATTCATTGCCCCCAGCTCCTGTTTCTCCTTATGAGAATGAACCCTGGAAATACCTGGAGTCAGAAGGTACCCCTAAATAGTGAAGGGGGTCAGGTGGGGCCAGAGGTAATACACACAGATACTCCAGATACAGGGAAACCTCCAAATGACACAGGGAGAAAAACTGATCTCCCAACTTAAAAGGTACCTGGGACAAGTTCATGTTCTCTAAAACTGAAGAATGAATTTTAGGAACAAATGGAGGTTATGTTACTCTTTTTTTTTTTTTTTTT